ATACAGGTCTGAATATATCGAAGTGGTTGAAAACAAATAACATACATACATCCCTTAAAAGGTGGAAAGGTTATGAAACAAAATGGCACCTATGTAACTCAATAAATATACAGGGTGAGTCTTATAACGTGACGACCTCAAATAAATCGTAAGGTATTTGTTGTACGACAAAATGTTTCAAACAAAAGTTGCATGGTATCTAGGGGGACATAGAGTGCTGTAATCTGTTTTTCATTACCTTACTTTTTTATTGAGATGTTAGGGTTACCTTCAGTTCTTTAAATGGAATGTCTAATATTTTTTTTCGAATTCGGATAAATCATGAAATTTTGCGTAAAAAAGTATTACATGAACTGGGACTTCAAATGAAAAATTACTGAGACATTTATAAAAGAAGTTTATGGGCAATAGCTGCTAAGGTTGAAGTACGACATCCTTCATTACTCACAACTTTGTGATACCTTTTACGTTTCTGTACATTAAAATTGCCATGTTCTTTGAGTCTTCGATTAAGCCTTAAGAAGGTAGAATGCGATGGCTGATTTCGATCAGGATACTTAGCTTGGTACAAGATCTTAGCTCTTATAGCATTTTCTTCAAATCGCACCATAAACAATTATCATATCGTTATTTCACTGTTACTGAACATCGTATCGTTATTTCACTGTTACTGAGTAATAAAAACATAGCACCTTTCTCAATACGTCTTTAACGCTTACCAAGATACTAAATAGCCATTTCGTGTTGATGATTATTAATATTTAACAGGGAACTTGTTTACAGACATGACCTACCGACGCGAATAAAGTCGTGTTAAGAATCACGTTGACTAAGCGTATTTCCTAATAGAAGATTATTAATTTAAAAATATCTCAGTAATTTTTCATTTGAAGTCCCACTTCATGTAATACTTTTTTACGCAAAATTTGATGATTTATCCGAATTCGAAAAAAAATATTAGACATTCCATTTAAACAACTGAAGGTGACTCTAATATCTCAATAAAAAAATGAGGTAATAGAAAACAGATTACATCACTGTATGTCCTGTATGTCCCTAGATACCATGCAACTTTTGTTTGAAACATTTTGTCGTACAACAAATACCTTACGATTTATTTTAGGTCGTCACGTTATAAGACTCACCCTGTATAATTGAAACTATGTCTATTTCTACTTTACCACGTTTATTCTTTGCTCCATGGTTCCTGCTATAGTTACTAAATTACCTTTCTATCAATGAGAAAGTTCCAAATGTTTATAAAACACTGAATTTTTAAGCTCGTAACGGAGGAATCGTTAAAGGGTTGAACAAGATGGGCGGAGCAAACAGACGAGCAACAGTGCGGGGGTGGTAGTCAAGCACTGTGGTGGGGAGATGACTATTCGGTGACCTTGATGGCCAGAATTCTCTGCTTCGAGACAATTACCGGTCATCGTTGAACGATACAGACATGCGATTAGAACTGGACGACAGAGCCAACTTCACGGCTCATCGGTTTCCTTTCTCGTTTCCATTTTTTTGTCACGCTTGCGACCCTTGGACCCAGGAGTCTGCTCCATTGAAACCTTGTCTCCTGTAGTTTATTCAATTAAAATATACCATTACTATACGTACATGGTGGCTCAAAGTGAACAGACGAATATTAAATATACTCAATTTTGTTTTCAAAGTCGTAGACACAGTTTGGTTCTTTCAGAAACAAAATTTTTTAAATGAAGAACAATTGACATACGTAACAAAAATAACGTTTGTGTGTGTTCTTTATTTTACAACCGATGGAGGTTTTTTTTTTATTAAACATGCCTCTGAATATCAGGCGACAGAGCCTCGACCATCGTCGACAACATTGAACTCCACACTTCGATACGAGTATTGATTTCCCCCGCAACACCTGAGACAAACAAAAATGAGCCTGTTCTATTTAAATCCGTGTAAATAAAAGAGTCCTTCGATAATTAGCGTAATTTAATTTTATTACATTTGACGTACGTGTAAAAATTGAAAAAAGTAAATTTTATACAATAAGGTGACGAATTGAATTCACTTTCAGCCTCAGAAATTGATTTACTTGTTAACTAGACCACTTGCAAAAGAATAGTACATTTCTCACACATTTACATTTTCAACTTGCAAAATTGCTTCACTCTAATGACATTACACTCACAGTAAATATAGATTTTATTATTGTTTAATATTATATGAATGACATTTTTATAAAATTACCAAAAGCACTCTACAACTTTTATCTGTACCTTTAATATCGCTTAATGTTCCCAAGCCCTTTCTTCGAATCGAAGGGAATTATTACTAACACCACGAAAGCCTAATCGCTCACCAGTATTTTTTCAGTAATCATAGCATCTGACGTTTACTAGCAAATGAATTGCCTCCTTTGTTATCGTGTCCCAAGCGTTCGCATCGCTGAAAAATTTCGTAATCATGCAAATGTGCATAAGTTGATGACTCTCGTTTCTAGTAAAAAAAAAAATAATAAAAGGCGTCGATGTCGTAGTTGGTGTTATGAATGCATCTCAAAGTTTGTATCAGTGTGACTCTGGACTCTGAAAGTGTTTCTTGGTCAACTTGGATCAGCTGCCTGATTAGGTGAATCGTTCCTGCGTCAATTATTATTTTTTTCTAGAGTGTCTTTCTAAAGAAATGGAAGACCAGTTCGCAACTATGAACAGCTTCGAAGAAGCTACTACTGTGATATTTAGGGTAAACTCCATCCTGGCGCTACGGAACTTCGAGTATCCCTCGAACAAAATGAAATTTCTATCCACTTTATTGTATTGCATTCTGGTTGCGTGTCTTTGTGTTACGTCGATGTTTTACTATGATAAGATGAACTTGCAAAAAATATCCAACATCGTGGAATCTGCGATATACATTTCTCTGGGAATCATCTTTTATTTTGGCTACTTGTCCACGATAATCTTGGGGTTGTACTACTCGAAGGTGAGATACAAGAGTACAATAACGACGGTGCTATGCAAGTACGCTACTTTGAATAGTGATCAATCGATCACCCTTGTAACTGAACATTGAAGTAAAGTGATCAATGTTTTATACAATCAAATTTCCTATTATTGATGCAAATTAAAGGGTTTTAATGTAAACCAGAAGAAAAGGTCGACTATTCTGTTAGTTGGTGTTGTCATTCTATACTGGATTGTTTGTCCTTTTTTTTAGGACACATTGGCGCTCAGGGAGAGGATCGCCAAAGTGGACGAGAGCTTCAGGAGACTAGGCTCTCCCGTTCGTTCGCGTCATTTATATCACCGTGTATTAATTGTAGGACTCGTTTGTTCCTTAAACTTTATCATAATATTAAGCTTATATACGCAGCTATTGTTGCAATTGCATAGAAATCTGACCCATGTATTTTTATTCGCTGCTTACGTGTATGCAAGGTGCATTCCCATGGTCGTCCTGTGCGACTTCTTGACATATGTAAAGTACGTTGCTGAAATAATAGTATAGTTCTCAATCTATTGCTCTTCTTCCTTTTGTTATCACTTGGTATGTCGTAGTTGGCTGGAGTTGAGATTCAAGCAGATCAACCATTTCCTGGGAACGTTACTCGTGGATGCTCCATCGGCAAAGAAAGAATCGAAGAAGCGCTCTCTTAAAGCTACGAAGAGTCCAAGTTACAAATTTGTAAAAAGTTTCAATTTATACGCGTCCGACTTCCACTTTCAACGGACAAGACTATTTCCTTTGAACGAAACTCCGAAACACGAATCACAGATTGCGAGAAAAGTTCATTTACTGCGCCAAGTAAGGTAAAATTTAACTCGAACAATCCGAAACGGTCAGAACTTGAATCCGTGTCCTGTGTAAATGAAGCGGAGAGTTAGTTCTAGTCTAGAATACTTTTATTTTTGCAGATTCGTGCACCTGAAGGTGTACAGCATAGTCAAAGCGACGAACAAAATATTCGACACTCAGATAACGATACTGTCCATCATCATTTTGATGCATCTCACCACGACTTCCTATTTCTATTTCTACAGCGTTTATAAATCGATTCATGTCGACGTGGAAACTAAAAGTGTGCTCCGCGTATATGTTTGTCATTTGTTAAGTAGTACAGTGCAAATAATCCTGGCATGCTACAACTGCGAACGTACTGACAAAGAGGTGAGAACCTTTGACTGCGACCGTTCAGTATTTATCCTACATTTACTTTATTAAAATAACAATATAATTAATCGATTCTCTCGTTTAATTCAATATTCTCAATTTTAACAAACGAAAATATGAATCCATTTTATTCCCTTCACAGGCAAACAAGATAAGGAAAATAGTTCACGAGTACTCTGCGCACGATTTCAACGCTGAAGTGAAAGATGAAGTAAAAGAAAGTAATTACTAACGTATAAAACGGTAAATTAAAAATCTTTATGTTCGTAGATACTCCAATTATCTTTGCAAATATCGCTCAGCCAGTTTGGAAGCTCACAGTCCAATTTCTTTCGCCTGAACTACGTCTTCATCAGAGGGGTTAGCTTCTATTTTATTGTAAAATACTAAGCATCCCACATTTTCCATTGAATTCTACCATTTTTTTATAACTAAACGTGCTCGATCGTTGCAGTGTATAAGCTTCGTGATGACATTCTTGATCATTATAATGCAGTGGGATCCATCCTTAGAATAGATCTCGATCGAAAACTGTCAAAACTTCATTAGCAACGAATTAATCCATACTCGAGGTTCGATCTTTCCGTAACGCTGAATTTCTAATGCAAATGCAATTGTTTCGAAAGCTATAAACAATCCTGTTGCACGCATTTTCTCGATAATCATCATCACAAGGCAAATCTAAGTACGTAGATTGCCTTTTTATCGTTATCGTGATCATGCAAAACCTACACACGGTGTTGTTGGCTATTATTATTCCTGTTGCAACAAAGTAACCAGAGGCAACGACGTGGTTTCATAAATCTTTGTTTCTCGAGGAGGATTAAATACGCAAAGTGGGGCGACTTGGATCCATCTGCTCGAGTGTCCTTAATATTATCAGTGCCGTCAAGCTTCACGGTGGCTCGATTAATAAAATAATAAAATATTCGTTAAATAAAAGAAAGGCTAACTGCAGGTGTTATCAAGTTGACATTGGGCGACGTTCCTGCCATAATCGACCATATTCGCGTAGATCAATTAAAATAGTTAAGCCCGTGGAACCTGGAGTAATTAGGTAAATTACCTTCTTCATCGTGAAAAGGAAAAAAGTTGAATACTGGTCAGTCAATGAGGAAGAAGAGCTTCGAGGAGGCCACCGCGATGGTCACTGCTGCGAATTTCATCGTGGCGCTACGAAATCCCGTGCATTCCACAAACAAAAAGAAATTTCTATTCACCTGGATGTACGATGTCTTAATTCTATTCGGTATTACCAGCAGTATGCTGTACTTGGATTTCTGGATCTTGCAGAAGATGCCAAAGAATCTGGAACGCGAATCGTACAAATTTATGATTTTCATTTTCGCTGTGGGCCATGTGTACACGATAGTATTGGGGTTGAACTACTCACAGGTGAGTGAGAAATATTTAAAAGAAATTTCAAAGAAATGTTTAAATATCCCCTCGAGAATTCTCCAAATTTCCAGTAAATCGAGGTTCATCTCGAATACGTTACGAACAAATGATTATACAAAGTATAGAGCAGTGACGCTTTGAAATTAAGAGTAGTAGAGTAGAACCTCCGTTACGCGAATTAATTTGGGTACAAGTTACAATTATAAAAGGCAAGAGAGTTCGTTGTTTCATTTCCTTTTCCTTGTAGGACATCCTGGCGCTCAGGGAGAGGATGGCCAAAATGGACGATAGTCTAGGAAAACTTGGATCGACAGCTAATTACAACGCTTTGTTTTATCGTGGACTAATCATTGGGATCATGTATGCTGTTTATACGTACATAACCTGCCGAATATATTTGAAGTGGCTGTTGCAGGAGAAGATGTCAAGACCACTTATCTTTTTTGCTAGCGTCGACTACGTTATAACAGAGCATATTTCCACAATACTTATATATGACTTTGTTACATACGTATAGTATGTAGAGAATCTGTTCTCTGAAATAGAGAAATTGTTCTCAAACATATACATAAGAGCTTAGAGTCGATATTTTGTAGTTGGCTAGAAATGAAGTTCAAGCAGACGAACGATCTTATGAAAACGTTCTTCGTGGGTGGCTGCCAAAGGAAGACAAAAGGACTCGATGAATACACGTTTGAACCTGAAAGAAATAGCCGACATCGGAGCTCGAGACGCGTAACTACGTACACGTCAGAGTTTTATTTCAGAAGAACGCGCATTTTTCCTATAAGCGCTGATTCAAATACAAACGACGAACAACAGACAGCGAAGAAATTGCATTTGTTGCAGAAAATGAGGTAAATATTTTCCTTGGATTTGAATGTTTCTTTCCAGTCAAAGAATGCATTTTATTTTTCAAGATTTTTGCATCTGCAGCTGTGCAACATCGCCAAGATGGTGAATAGAGTATTCGACAAGCAATTGATGATGCAGACCACCGTTGTCTTGACGACCATCACACTGCTTCTATATTTCGGTTACAATCAATTCAGTGTGTCTGCTGGCTTACTGGCGAATTTGCAGTCATTATTATTACAGGGATTAGAATTCTTGTGTCATTCAGCGAAAATTGTTTTCGCGAGCTACAGCTGCGAGCAAGCCGCAAAACAGGTCAGTACTTCTGATTATTTCTCTGCACTTTGTAAACAAGCAATTCTATACTGGTTTCAGGCAAACAAGATAAAAGAAATCATCCATGCGTTCTCTGAGCTGGTATTTGATCCTGAAATGAAAGATGAGGTAAATAAAAAAAAAATACATGTCGAATTGAGTAACCTCCTCTTTCTCGAAGTCGGTTAAAAATACTGAAGATACTGTAATCATTTATTAGACGACCTATTCAGAATCAGTTAATGCATCAATCAACGTTTTTTTGGCGCTGTTGGTTCGTTTGTAGACATCATCTTCCAACTATCTGGAAAGAGTTAATAAAATTTCACCATTGTATCTAAGAAGTTACACTTTTATATCTAACGACCTTATTACAAATTCGAAGCCATAAGCTCGCTATGGCTATACAAGGAAACAAAGTTCCTTGAATTTTTTAAATTTATTTATTTAATATCGCATCAGCTTTTTAGCCATTAGCAACCACATTGCAATATATTCTTATATTTTGTGTCTTATTACATTGTATTTCACATACATCACTTGGTTTTCTTCTGTCTAACAATTTTAAACTACCTAAGACTAATTACATACTAAATATCTTTAATTATTTTGATTTTCTCAAGATAAGTTATTATTCCTTTTACATGTTTTCTTTCATTTAAACATTGTTTCCCTTCGATTTCTTTCTGTACAATCTTAGAAATTAAATACGCGAAGATGGAAATAGAAGGAAACAAAGTTCCTTCAATCTCCGCGTCTGTCACTGCCAAGCAATTGTTGAAAATTTCCCCTTTTTAGAGGGGAAAGTGAAGCTAAAATAAAATCGCGAACACGAGGCGACCGTGTAGACAGGCTTACTGGGTCAGTCCAGTTTCCACTTGGCGAGTCTTTAGCAAGAAAGTCGACAAGAACGCTCCCTTGCGTCGAGAGCCTATGACTCCCTCAACAAGTACGTCTTACAGGAGAGAGTATACAGGAGAGAGTAGCGACCGATATTTGTCTTTCGCGATTAATGTCTCTAGCGAATACTTATTCTGAACTGTAATTGTTATTAATATTTAATGTATGACTAAATGTTATCGCATGCATTATAAATGTTTAATTATTTCGGAGTTATTATAAAATTCAAGAATCTGATCATTTCTTTCTGCGTAGATCCTCCAATTTTCTTTGCAGACATCTCTCAGTCAAATTGGAAAATCAAAGTCCAGTTTCTTTCGACTGAATTACGTTTTCTTGCGAACGGTTAGTGGACTTTCGTGATAAAGGTGAACGCGGAACATTACTTGTTCATTATTTTTACTAACTTTTGCAATCGTTACAGTGCATGAGCGTCGTGACGACGTACGTGATCATCATGGTACAACTGGGTCCAGCTTTTGATTCAGAGGAACCAGACATCATTGGAAATAAAACCTTGCATCCTCGATCATCGCCTTATCTGTAACTTTAACTCAATTTCACACGTGTTAGTAAAAGTGATCGAACAAGTAATAGTTGTTAATTACGTGTTTTACTGTGTGATACCAGTCTGCTATTTGGTTTACCTTTTACAACTCTGCAATCTATTGTAATAATCAGTGCTCATGTATCAAAATCAAACACTGCATTTAATATTTCAGGAAAATATAGAATTTTACATGTGTCTGTTACATTTATTTCTATTCTCCTCAAGGTCTACTGACGATTACAGTGTAGTATTCAGAGATGAATAAAAATACACACCGTTATTTAGATAGAAATATACATGACTGCATGAAAGAAACACATTTAAAGTAATTTTGGAATATTAAAAATTTACATTTCAGCATCATAAAAAGCACACCATTTCTACCACGCAATACATTTATATCCATAAATGCAATTCCAGGCCTTATTCACGTATCGAATTTGGCATGTCATATTAATGACATTATTATCAAAGTATCCAACCGCAACCGCGCAGCTTTCGCGTGCGCCATTAATATCAACCAATGATCTCGAGCACTTACCTAAAGCGATCGCAATTTCAAATGTGTACGATTAAATGAACAGTCACTCATATTCTCCCAACAACCATAATCATTAGTCAAGTCAAATGAATTGTTATCTAATCGTTTCTCAAGTCGTAGACATCGCTGAAAACTTCACAATCATGCAAATGCGTGATGACCTCGGTCCTAGTGCCAGGAAAATACCAAACCCAACAGTAACACGATTAATTCCATAAATCTATTTAAAATTATAAAATTGGCCAAGGGTAGTTTGCAATAGAAATAGCCAAAGTGATTCGTCTCCTAATTGCTTCGAGTAATCAGTTTCTGTGATCCCAGAAGAAGGTAACGTCCATTTTAATCGATTGAAAGGACTCGGTCATCGAAATATTAATATAAATATTCATTGTGGATAGACAACAAGAAGAATCACGCCAGCTAACGATGACAAAGAGCTTCGAGGATGCTACAGCTATTATAAACACGTTAAGTATGTTCCTGGGGATGAGATATTTCGAGGATCCTGCAAACAAAACGAGATTCCTATTCACGTGGATCTACGACATCCTAATTCTAATCTTCAACGTTATGTACACGCTACACTTCGCTGCGCGCCACACCAGCATTCTATCAAACAGCGAGGCACAATTATCGTACATAATCGTGATACTCGTTTCCGTTTGGTGTTACGTGTGTACGTTGATCTTGGGTTGGCGTCACTCGAAGGTAAATGCTGAAATTTTCATAGGGATTCCCCCCAGGAATGGTCAGTAGAGTATGAAGTCGTGTGAAGTTATACCGGTTTAAACAGGGAAGTTGTTAAGTTTAATCATCCCTCGACTACATCGTCTTCTTTCGTTTTTATTTCAGAATGTACTTGCAGTCAGAGAGAAGATCGCTAAAGTGGACGAAAGTTTGAGGAACCTGGGATCGGCGACTGATTATCGTCATTTATTTCAATGTGTGATTACGGCTCTGTCGTTTGCTTTGTTGTGCGCTAGCCTATACCTTGTATTACTTTTCAAGTGGTTGTTGTTACAGAAGATAGAACTTTTTAGTTATTTCATCTCCGTTTGTATCGTTTACCAAGGGAACGTCAGTGCCATCATCATTTATGACTTCGTAACGTATGTCTAGTACGTAATTAAATATGCTATCGTATTTGATAGCTGCGTGGATCGACATAAACCTAGACGATACTTCTCAGTTGGCTGGAGATGAAGTACAAACAGACGAATGAACTCGTGAAAGCATTCTTCGTGGATGGTCATGAAATTAAGACGGACGTACTGAAGGAGTACGCGATTAAACCAACGAGAAACCATCGTCGGCAGGCTCTTAACAACGTCAAGGTGTACATGTCTGAATATTGTTTTCGGCGCACGCGAGTGTTCCCGCTAAATGAGGATCCTAGTTTGGAGCACGAATCGCAGGCGGCGAGAAAAGTGCGTATGCTGGGAACTATTAGGTAAATTTCTCTTGTAATCATTTCCAATTCAGTTTAAACGATTCGAAACTTGAAATTGTTCAAGTCGAACTGAACGTTTTGTTAATTATCGTACTTCAAGCCTGCGTCATCTCAACGCAGAGTGACGTACGATTGAAACTAATGTAAATTATGAATGATAACTAAAGCTCCAACTACTTCCGTCTTGATTAATTGATACAGATTAAAACAGGATAAAATTATCACGATTTTTCCCAGATGCCTGCATAGGGAGCTGAGTCTAATCGTGAAAATGGTGAACAAAATATTCAACACACAATTGGCGTTACAGACCACCATGACTATGGTGTTCTACACCATAACATTGTACAATACTTACATTGGTATCATTTCCTCGCCTACGGATGTGCCGAAAACTGCAGTAAAAGCCGTTGTGAATTTTATAGAGTTGTTTAATAAGGCTGGAATCATCGCTTTAGCGTGCTACAGTTGCGAATATACCATGAAAGAGGTGAGAAACTTTGTTTCTCATACCCTTATTTGCATGTTTATGTGGAATAGAATATTCAAACGGTCGAGTTTTATGTGCGAGGCAATTATTTCTGTTTTCAGGCGAACAAAATGAGAGATATCATCTACGCGTTGTCTGTGGAGGGGTCAGACACCGAATTGAAAGACGAGGTAGGAAGAAGAAGATCCTGAAGATCCTACTAGGCTCAGTTTTTAGAAAATATAATGTATTCTGTCCGTAGATCCTCCAGTTTTCCTTACAATTATCGCTCACCCATTTCGGAAGGTCGAACTTTTTTCAACTAAATTACACCGCCCTACGAACGGTTAGATGACGCATATATTAAGTTGTCCTAAAAGTTTCTTTCGTTTCAATAATAATTTCGTACACTACTGAGGTGTACGCGATCCATTTTGCTCGATTACTGTTATAACATCAACTTCTCAGAGATATGGTCCATTATATAAACCTTAAAGGTCTAAATATTATAAAATGTCTATTTATGTAAACACTGCCACACAGAACAGCTGAATCTCTGTCGCGAAAGAAACTTTTAAGACAACCTAATAAACTATTACGATAATATAAAATATTTCAATTTAATCAAATGTTCCTGAAACGCTTCTAATCGTTGCAGTCGGGAAGTTTCGTGATAACCTACCTGTTTATTTTGATACAATACAAACCAGCCTTCGAATTGAGCGAATCAGCCCTAGCACAGAACGAGACGAATTCAGACTTCAGCTTTATGTAACGTTGAATTCGTTCTACGAAACAGTAACTCGTTTATCATTGAATTCAATAATTTGGTCGTTTTCTGCTTGGATAACTGCTTTATTCAATAAATGTGTGAAGCTTGACATAACGATATATTAATGGCGTTGTTATCAAACGACCCAGAAGCGACGTAAAGTCTCGCGCCGTTAGCGTCAATTAATGATCCAATGCACTTTTCTAATGAACCGTCATTCGCAATTTCTTAATAATCTTAATCATCGGACAGATCGATGCAAATGGATTCCATACCACACATACCTTTTGCAAGCGTACGCGTCGCTGAATATTTTGCAATGTTCTTGTTTTTAGTGCTAGAGAGGAACTGAAAGCGACAATATCGCGATCGGTTTTCATAAATCGACTTAAAATCGGTGTGATTGCAAAGTTTTTTTTTTTTTATAGAGACAGTCTCTCACCTGTCTCGAGCAGTGTGCTTTTGTAATACCTAATTTCAGGGATAATCTTTTTAATTTTGATTGCGTTTCGTTAAATTTATACGGTTAGCAATACGATAAGTACGAGAAAATTGAAAGGAACAGTAAATATACGTTGAAAACTAACGCCTACATGCGCTGAATAATTTTAAGAAGGATACTGTATCAAAGACAAATTTCAAAGACGTTTGATAAAAAAAACCTTGTTTGATAGAAACCAATGTTATAAATATAATTGAAATTATGAATATAAAGAGCTTCAAGGAAGCCACGATGTTCGTAATGAAAACGAATTCCATTCTGGGGCTGCGGAATTTCGAGGACCCTTGGAACGGAAAAAGATTTCTGTTTAAATGGTTGTACAACGTGCTAGTTCTATGTTACATTTCCGTCACTAATATAATAACCGACACGTGGACGATTTCGATGATACACGATCTTGTAGAACGTATGACGTACGTACTTACAGCGGTCAGTTTCAATTTTACTTACTTTGTCGTGGTGCTATCGAGCTGGTACCACTCGAAGGTGAGCAATAAAAATTTCAGCGAAATTAACAAGAATTTATTCAACACAAATTAACTAAAAATGTATTTTATTATGCGTCTTTTAGGAGATATTAGTAGTAATGGAGAGGATCGCCACCGTAGACAAGAATTTGAAGAAACTAGGATCGTCCCTTCATTATAACGACTTATTTTACCGTGTCCTAATCGTTTGGACTATTTCTACCTTTCATTCAATTGTACTTTGCATATTATACTGGAAGTGGACGATGAGTAATAATGTGGTACCCACGGGTGTTTTTTCCATACTTACCTATGCGTACAGTGGATGGTTAGGATTAATCATGCTTTATGACTTCTTAACATATGTGTAGTACGTATTTGAAATAGTCACTCTCCTTGGTACCTCTCGCTTAAGTAAATCCACTTTCGAATCCGTTTCATCTATTACCCATTCTGATACTGTTTAGTTGGCTGGAGTTAAGGTTCAAAAATACAAACGCTCTCCTGAAGTCTCTCCTCGTGGATGGAAATAACATTAACACGGGAAGATTGAAGAAGATCGCGATTAAGCCTCCGTCAAACCGCCATCGTCGATTTCCTAGCAATTTCGATATATACATGGCTGAGTTTTGTTACAAACGAACGCAAGCTTTCCCTTCAGCTAGGGTTCCGAATTTGGAGCATGTGTCGCAGGCGAGTAGAGTGGATTTCTTTCGACAAATTAGGTAAATCACTCCTCGATATATACCCAGTTAAAAATCATCAAGTGCCGTCCCATAAAATTGGCGAGAAATGTTATTCTTATGGTGCAATACTTTTATTTTTCGAGGCTTGTGCACCTGCAACTGTGCAGCATCGCGAAAATGGTGAACAGACTGTTCGACATGCAATTAATGATGCTTTTCACTGTTATTCTGATATACTTGACCATGGTTCTGTACTTCGCATACAATGAAATCGATATGCGGTCTTTTAACTTCGCGAAAACCTTCAAGAGGGTATTTGTACATTTTGTGGAGGTGGTGGGTAATATATGGAAAATATCTTTGACGTGTTACAGGTGCGAATGTACTGGGAGTGAAGTAAGTATCTTTGACTTTTGTTCGTTTACACCCTCGGTCAGAAGTATGTGGATACTAAATATCTAATAAAAGTCACGAATCTATGAATATCAATTATATCATTTATCTTTCGATATGTTTATGTTGTATCAGCGAATATATTAGGTAGCCCGAAAAGTAATGTCGTTTCTTTTACATTAAATTCAAACTTTCCAATAAATTTTTATCTTGAATTCATTATATAATCGCCCTCATTGTCAACAGCCTTACGTCATCTAGTGTGCAAATTTTCAATGGCAGAAAAATCAATGAGCTGATAAATGATAAACAAGTATTTAAGATGGCAAAAATGACATTACTTTCCAGTCCACCTAATATTTTATTAATAGTTTTTTGCTAACATCACATTAGTAATAATAACAAGCTTTAGAGATAACTAGATAATGTTAAAATATCTTTTTACCAAACTTGAATACTATTAATTTCTTCATTGTATCCGAAGCAATATTATCTCATTTTGAGCTTTTCTATCTAAACGATCCCATAGTCCCACTATTAAAATTGAACATGGTATTTAATATTATTAAAAGTTGTTAAATACACATCCAATATAGAATTTGGCAACAAAAGTTGTATAGTAATAATTTACGGTGTATATTAATTATTCATTGGAAGTAGTACGTGTCCACATATTTATGAGCGAGGGTGTAAGTGTGGAACAAGAACTGTTCAACTTATCCCCGTTCTATCTTTTCAGGCAAACAAGATAAAAGAAATCATACACATGTTCTCGATGCAAGAATTCGACGAGGAAATGAAGGACGAGGTAAGAAGAAAATCAAGTCTTAATCAGGTTTCAATTCTTAGTAGAATCTCAAGATTGTTCACTCCATAGATCCTCCAGTTTTCCATGCAAGTGTCCCTCAGTCAGATCGGGAAATCGAAGTCCACTTTCTTCCGTTTGAACAACGTCTTCCTTCGAAGTGTTGGTTAACCTCGAATATTACTTTCTAATGTAACAATTGCGCCGATTATTACAAAGATATTTTAATATTTATTACAGTGCGTAAGCTTCGTGGTTACGTACACCATCATCATAATGCAAATGAGTCCATCGTTTAACTCGGGAGACTCGATATTGTTCGGGAACGAGACTGACTATGATCCTGACTCAACCTTTCTGTGATACTTCGATTTTATATGAAACAGTCGAGGGATTTAACGGTGGCCTGATACGGTGCATGATCGAGAAACCTGTGCAATATTTCTAGATCACTTGTCCGCAAACGAAAATATATGAATTTGCAAATTTTTATTACATTTATTTCTGCAGTACGGAAAATATAATCGCATTAGGAAATTATACAAAAGCATCTCTAACACCTTGTGTTTTATTTTCCATGCGATATGATACCAGTATCGTTTTCGATGCTCCTGCAATAATCATACTGTAGCCATTAAATGCTCCCACGCCGAGTTTAATGTTTCAGAGAAATATAATATATGATCGTATCAGTTACGTTTATTTCTGTTTTCCTCAAAGTCCGAGTAGTATTATGTCCTTCACGCCTGATAAAAGAAGATATCAATTCGCTTCATCAGTAAATTACTCGAGAGCATCCCTCTGAGGAATTGCTGACACCGCGGAAGGAAACGAAGGTCGCGGAAAATATTGATCTTTGTATACGTACTAATCGACGATGTTTTCAAGTTGTTATCAGTCTATTCAGTGTTACTTGGAAATAATAACAGGGTCACAGTAATACCTGGCGAATTTAAATAACGCGAGAGTCGTATCGGTAAACTTTAACTGTTTGTGGCTATGTAACGAAGCTCCTGAACATTGGTAAAATTCTTTTTGAAAACGGTCCCACATTTTTGTTTATGTACAGTTTTATTATCTTCGACGTTAGGGTGCATTAATTTGATACAATTAAAATACTACGCGTGTACTACAGTTCTGCTATAATGTCATTACGATATAGCATAAAGTAATCTAGAAGCAGCCAGCGACTTTATCATTAATAACAATTAACGTTCAAGCACTAGTCTAAAGGTGATCATCATTTTTTTGTCCAACCGTCACTAATTTCCACGATAATCATAATTTTCGAAGGACTCTAGTGCAAGAAAGGAACCGAAAGTGACGATACTTCAATTTCTTCCATACTTCGTTTCAAGCAGTTATCTTTGTGTTCTGTAGAAAGAGCAAAGTGTACGATGCGGTCCATTAAAATCGATACAAGTGAATATCGTTCGAATTATCAATGAGGGTGAACTATCTTTCGAATAGAAACTGAAAGAAGATTTCAAGAATAATACCAGATACATTTAGGTAAGGTAATTAAGTCTATTCAGTAGCGATTACAGCAGAAACTCTTGAAAATGATACACAACACTCAAATCAGAATATAACAGGGAATAAGAAATCCTGAAGTACTCGAAGAAATTGACGAAACTGTATCGTCGCGTACTGTATGCAGATAATAAGAAGATCAAGGCCCACCAATGAAGACAAACAGTTTCGAGGAGTGCACCTCCGTGATAAAAGCCCTCAATTCGTTCGCAGCGCTGCGAAACGTAGAGCATCCTTCAAACAGAGGAAGATTTCTCTTCACCTGGACCTACGACATCCTGGTTTTATGCTTCTCCATCGTGGCCACGATCTTCTTGGAAATGTATCACTTGGAGCAGATTCAATTCGATCAGGAGCGCATGATATACATGGCATTGCTGATTGTGTACATTTTGATTTTCGGGACCACGGTGGTTGTGGGTTTGTACTACTCCAAGGTAAACTATCGTATCAAAAATTAATAATACATCGAATGATTGCCGTATACGTCTACAATAGTCTACATTGTTTCGTCTTTCTTTTAGAGTACGTTGAAACTTAGGAAGAGGATCGCTAAAGTGGACGACACCTTGAATAGGCTAGGATCGACGGTGAATAATCGAGATTTGATCGAACGAGTGGCAATTATTGGAGTCATTTGGGTCTTTACTGGATTAGGTTCGGTCGCAGTATACTTCGTCTGGGTCCTGCAACAAAAGATCGAATTGATCACTCTAGTCGCCATCTTTGTTTTCATTTATACAACCAGCGTTGGTCCAATCATCCTTTACGACTTCTTAACGTATATATAGTACGTAACAAAAATTCTTCTACTCCCTTATTCCAAGTATTAATATTAAGGGGACCAGAAAGTAATGTCGTATCTTTTACATTAAATTCAAACAAATAAATTTATAACAAGTTTTCATTTTTAATCAATTATGTAATCGCCCTCGTTATCAACAACCTTTTGTTATCTAGTGTGTAAATTTTTAATATGTGGTCGATAAAAATCAATTGGTATACAATGAGCTGATATATGATAAACAAGTATTGACATTCACAGAAACGACATTACTTTCTGGTCCCCCTAATATTTATAAGTAGACTACGGATTTGTATGCATTTATAGGAAATTTAAATGTGCAAGAACCTACAAAATGCAAACAACATGCAACGATATAAAAAAGATTGAAATTAAAGATCATGTTATAATATTTGCAGAATGAAATAAATTCCTATTTAGGTTTAATTTTTGTAAGCACGTTCGCGAAGATTTTATTTTGCATAAAGATCCGCAGTCTATTTATAAGTATAAATATTCGTAATAAATTTGGAATTAACAAAGTTTGGTGTTTTTTAGTTGGCTGGAGTTTAGGTTCAAGCAGACGAATGAATTTCTGAGGACGTTATTCTCGAACCCTAATCAAATGACGCTGACGGAGACGAGGAAGATCACGGTTAGACCCGTAGATCAGATTCCAAACGGAGATTACGAAGCACAGACCGCGAAGAAACTGTATTTACTGCAACGGATGAGGTAAATCTTCTCTTCTTTTTCTTCTCTCTTCTTTCGTGTCACGAAGACCAGAGAAATCAAGATCAGTAAATAGATGATCGCTGAAGGATTCTTATTTTCCAAGATTTCTGCGCTTGGATTTGTGCTGCATCGCGAGAACTGTGAACAAAATATTCGACACGCAATTAATGATGCTGTCCTCCGCCGCCTTGCTGTACCTCACCACATTTCTGTATTACGTATACGTCGAAATCCGCAAATCGCACGACAGCCTACACACCAATTTGGAAATGATAGTGATAAGTCTCGTAACCGCTGTGACCAATTCCATGCAGCTCGTCGTGGCGTCCTACAGCTGCGAGCACGTCATACAAGAGGTGAGGAACTCGAGCCAGTCGTGCATTTTCATTGTTTCTCCACGTTTACTTTGGAACCTTTCCTATTAATATTAGTCCGAGAGCCTGCGCATAAAATTTCGGCCAATTTCATTACAAATATCCTTTTGCTATTTGACTGTTGTTTTCTACTAAAGAATAAAAATAATCCAAGGCTGGCAGAGGACAAACGGTGCATCGCTCCCTTAGAAAGTCGGAAACATGTAAGAAATAACAGTATCTTTGACTGAAATTATTATTACTGAAATTTTTAGAATGTATTGTTGACATACCAAATTGCATAAAAAAGTTGGTCTGGCAGATTGTAAGCGGTGCGAAATGGGTGCTAATGATTTTAATCAAACTACTTCGTTTTTCCAACAAGGTTTTCGGACTGCCAGACCCATTTAGCACCGCTTACAATCTGCCAGACCAACTTTTTTATTCAATTTCGTATGTCAACAATACACACTAAAAATTTCAGTAGTATTAATTTTGGCCAAAAATCAAATTATTATAAAACGCCATAGTGAAGCGTTGCACCACTGAATTCATGCCAGACCAAGCATTTCTGAACTAGGGAGACATATCATCTTAGGAAAACAGGTTCATTTGTGCAATGAAACGAGTCACCCATTTCTGTCGCGGGTCCTCGGACTATATTGTCTGGGATACAATACAACTCATTCATGTCTGACAATTTCTCGCCAATTCTACTTACGGAGTTCGTTAATCCTTTGCATTCGAGAGGTGACTCTCACAATCAGTCACCATTAGGTTTCACGCAGCAAATCTACAATACCTAATGTTTCTTTATGTTTAATTTCTTTGGAGCTCGAAGCGTCAATAAAATGATCGTCAGTGAGGTAAAGGTGACCTTACTCTCAAATCTATATAGATAGCTTAAAATTCATGGCAATAAAATGCTAAGAAACATCTCGAGTTGCTGTAGGATACCAGAAAAAAAGGCCTCGAGTGCAAAGGGTTAAAGTTCAAACTAGTCTTGTTGAATTATATACATATAGCTTGAGTTCAACAAAAATGAATCTAGCGTTGAGCGGCATTGCCCTTTTCTCTGTAAGTTAGAGCTGGCACCACCAGGTCTGAGGAACCTTGACTGTTTGTCGTCGAAGGCTAGGGCAATAACCAGAGTGCAGGCAGAATTTTCTTTCTTTAAGTGGACGTTAGAATTTTTCTTCCTCGTAGGTCTCGAGAGTTTTCAGTGTCAGTTCTTGTCCGTTTCTTAAACCGTTAACACGTCCTTCCGAGCCGTTAAATAAACGTAGACTTTAAAATTAATAAAAGACTCATTTATTCCACCCATTTCCAACAAGTCTTATATTTGTACGTGCGCATAGAACATATTGGCACGGGCTGGTTTCTAAAGCTACGTGGTCCTATTTTCAGGCAAACAAAATAACAGAGATCATCCACGTATTGTCTGGACACGAATTGGACGACGAAATGAACAACGAGGTATGGAAGTTGTAAATGGTTCCAACAAGCGAGAGCGAGATCTCGAAACTTTTATATCGGTGCATAAGTCAGGAGAGTATTCGATGGTATCATACCATATTCCATATTAAGAATACCATATTCTTGGTATTCGATTGATCGTTTAAAAAATATGATTCCTGTCTCACAGATCCTCCAATTGTCTCTGCAGATAACGCTCAGGCAAACTGGAACCAAATTCTTCCGACTGAACTACACCTTCCTGCGCGGGGTCAGTGAATTTCTGTCTTAACACTTTCGCTGCGGATGACGCACATGCGCGTCCTTTACTTTTTTACTCGGTTTAGTCGTATTTGGACAGTCAGTGCGATCTAAGCATTCATGTTGGTCTGTTAAAATATATGTTTTTCAAAATAATCATATTAGAACATTTGTAAGAAATTTTTCATTAAGAAAAATATCATAATTGAAGCTCCCAGCGAAGGGCTACTTATTTTCGTCCG